TAGTTTGTAATTGAGGATATATCAAACATTTGAGTGTGCAATCCGATGAAAGCACAAGGTGAAAATGACACCGGACGGTCGTAAGAGTGCAACAACAGGGCGGACAGGATTTCGTTGTGAATGCTTTGACATCTTTTTGTCGCTCGGCTTGCATTTTGGCCAATGAATTATCTTAAAAACATTGTAGCCAATGGAAACGCTTCGTTGCAAGAACACAGCACCCGCACTGGCCAGATTTGAAGCCAATCATAATTGCTCGCGCCGCAATCACAAGCGTCTAATAGTACTAGTACTGGTATCTTTGATGCAGCAAAGCGAGTACTAGTATACGCCATGTTGTCGCAAACTACTTGGCGAATGGTGCGCTGTCGACGGCTCGCAGGGCGACTTGCAACCTCTCGAGATACGTACCCAGTGCAATGGATTGCCAGCACTCATGTATGCCAAGCCTTGCGGACACGAACGCAAGGTGTAGAATAGTCGGAGCACATGTAGGTTTATCTCATGAGATACATATCGACCACGCAACATGTACATAATATGAATGATATGCATCATTAAATCAACTACTCTTTCTATTTGATGACAACCGTCGTGTCTTTGAGCACCTTGATGTTGTACACGAGGCTCTTGACGTCGGCGAGTTGGTCGTCGAGAAGGTGAATGTGATGGTTGCCGTCTTGGACCACCATGCACGTTTCGTGGCCGGGGCCTGTCTCGCCCGAAGCGGCGGTGCCATGCGTCGGCTGCGTCGTTTGTTTGTTCTTCTTGGCGCGCAATTCCTTCTCGGGCAAACCAAATGTAATCATGTGCGTCATGAAAAACCACTGGAGCGTGCTCAGTCGTCGCGCCTTGCAGACCAGGAGGACGTTCTTGTGTTTCTTGTCTTCGTGGACATCCGAAATATAGTCGCATAAAATCGATGTGCTGTTGAAGAGCGCTTGACGACACAGACTGTTGCGTCCCATGAGCTTCCAGAACGGACGGTTGAGCACTTGGTCCAGAAGCGTGATCAAAAGAATGTTGGCAATCAAGCCGCCAAAGACGGCGTAACTCACGCGAAAGTAGAAGCTGTTGTAGAAGCTCACGGGAATGCCCTCGAGGTTCTCGACCGTGTTTTGGAGGTCGCGACGGACGCTGTTGTTGTACTCGATGTAATTGGGCACGTAAAAGAGCAAGATCGCACTCAGATACAGCGACGTGACGCTCGTCAAGTTAAAGTAGCCCATGAAGTGGCTCTCGCCGCAGTACGTGGCCGTGCTCACGACACTCAAGGCGACCTTGCAGAGCTTGAGAATGCCACAATTGAGCCAGAGAAGACGCAAACTCAACGCGAAGAGGCGGACACTCATGAAGAATTGAGGACTGCCCTTGTTGTAGACGTTGACTTCGCGAATGTAGACGAGCGACGCGTTCATGTCGAGGATAATCGAGATGCAGAAAAGCGCCACAAACAGATCCGAATTGTAGCAAAACATATCAAAGCGCAGTGCGTGGCTCAGATGCGGAAAGCACTTGGGCACGACGGTTTGGATCGCCCGCGTAAAGATCGTATCTGGTTTCGTCGGGTCGACCTCGAGCCACTGAACGGTCCGGCGGCTCGCGAGGTATCCGCCGGCGGCGAAGAAGAGCGCAATGAATTTGATCCAGTGGGACGCGGTGCTAAAGGCATTCCGTTGGATCATGAGCGCCATGCGGTACTCTGTGTTGGCGAGCGGTGCCGTCTGAACCCGCAGCGTCTTGTTGACATGGCTGTATCGCATACTAAAGTTGCAGACGCTATGGCCGAGCTCTGCGATCGGCGTACACCCCGTGCAGTAGCCTTTGGTGTAAATGCGGTAGAATGGCACCAACTGGACTTGGGTGTCGCTGGTGTTTTGGAGTTGAATGAGTTGCGTGAGTCGGAGGTCGGTCTCGATGCGCCCGGCCTGGTACCCTCGGGCCATGATGTCGACGCTGCCCATGGTTGAATTCGCTAGATTGGCCGTCGCCTCATCCGTAAACGCGATCGAGAGCGCGTTCCCGCGAAGAAACGTGATGGAGTCCTGGGCGGACGCGAGCTTGAGCGAGCTGCCAGCGTCGATATCAACGGGGTAGGCGCCGTTGAACTTGGTGCAGATAAACGCGACGGTCGAGTCCACCGAGAACGTGTCGGTGGACAAGAGGTAAATGTTGGTGCCGAGCATGCCGAGGTTGGAGACGCTAAAGTCAATCATCCAGAGGCCGATGCTTGAGAGACTTGCAATTGGTCGGCGCGACGGAAACGTATAGAAGTTGTCGAGCGCTTTGGCATTGGGGATGCTCGCGACGGGTGTAATGAACTCGTTGCCGTTCCCGATAAAGTCGATGATGGCCCAGTTGTTGGCAAAGGCATCGATGGCAACAAGAACGACAACGAGGACGCCAATAACGTACGCGATGACGACGAGGACGCGGTTGAACTTGTCGCGGAGCGCGTACGCCTCGTTGAGCGTCGAGAGCTGCCGTATGAGGTGCGCGCCCGGGGCCATGGTTGCTCCTCGTCGTCCTTTCGCTTCCCAAAGATAGTCTGGCAACCGCTGCGAATCTTTTGAAGCAGTTTTGGCTATATTTTTGGAGGCAACAGTTGTCGTTTGGCGCCACCACCGTCATGGCATCGAACCCAAGTGCGGTGCTCGTCAAGGCCAAGGCTCCGTGGTGGTCCCTTGGCTGGCTGGCGGCCATTTCTGAAAAGTACGCATTTCGCGACAAGATCAACCGCGTCCTCGTGGTCATCGCTTACGTCATTGGTGTCCTCGTTGTCGTTCTTGTTGCGATCGATGCGATTTGCAACAACTGGGCCATCATCGACTTTGTCGGTGACGGCAACGAGTTCATTACGCCGGTTGCCAACACTCAAGGCGCGGCCGACCTCGTCGAAACCTATGCGTTTCGACATGGCGGGGACCTCGCGAGTCTTTCAAGCATCGGTCTATGGATGACCAACTATACGGTCGCGAACCTCGGTGCGCTTCACTCGGATATTTACCTCCTCGCGACGTCGGAGTTTGAGATTGATGCGAGGATCAACATTTGCAGCCGCTTCTCGGGCAATTACAGCGTCGACTTGGCCGCGAAAAATCCGTTCAAGCTTGGCGTCGCGTTTGATTTGATTTCATTTTTGCGCGGGAGTTCGATTACCATTGCCTTTACGGACGAAGCCACGTCCAACTTGGGCAATCGCAGTATGGGGAGCGCCGAGCTGCAGCGACGCGGGTACGCGGCCGCGCGCCTCGGCGCCGACGTCCGTCTCACACAGTTTATCAAGCTCGAAAACACATCAAACGTACAAGTCCAAGTCGTGCCCGTGTGGGAAATCTTTGCCAAGGGCTACTGCACCGGGTGCATTCCGATTGCCGAGCTCGGCCGTGGCAGCTGCAACTTTAGTATGACGTATGTGGACGCCAACAAGACGCTCAACGTGCTCGCGCGGCCAATGCCCGGGTCGCTGCATCGGCATGGCCTTCTCATTCGCCAAAATTCGTTCAGCACCGCGTCGCACTGGATCAAATTCATTGCGCTCTTCTTCGCCGGCGGCGGGTACCTCGCGAGCCGCCGGACCGTTCAGTGGCTCGAGGTCGACCCGACGAAGCCGGACACGATCTTTACGCGGGCGCTGCAGACGGTCGTGCCCAAGTGCTTTCCGCATCTGAGCCACGCACTGCGCTTTGATATGTTTTGCTACAACTCGGATCTGTTTGTGGCGCTTTTCTGCATCTCGATTATCCTCGACATGCAGAGCTCGCTCATTTTCATCCGTGAAGTCAACGTGTACAACGCGATCAAGCCGCAGTTCATCATGAGCGTCCGACTCTTCTCATTGAGTTTGCGTCTTCTCTGGCTCAATTGCGGCATTCTCAAGCTCTGCAAGATCGGCTTGAGTGTCGTGAGCACGGCCACGTACTGCGGCGAGAGCCGCTTCATGGGCTTCTTCAACTTGACGAGCGTCACGTCGCTGTATCTGAGTGCGATCTTACTCTTTTACATTCCCGATTACATCGAGTACAACAACAGCGTGCGCCAAGATTTGTTTGGCAGTGTCGAGAACCTCGATGGGACGCCCGTGAGCTTCTACAACAGCTTCTACTTTCGCGTCAGCTATGCGATTGTGATTGGTTTGATCGCCAACATTCTCTTGATCACGCTTCTGGACCAAGTGGTGAATCGTCCATTCTGGAAGCTCATGGCGCGCAACAGCCTCGGTCGTCAAGCACTCTTCAACAGCACGTCGATCCTCTGCGACTATATTTCCGATGTCCGCGAAGACAAGAAGCATCGGGCAGCGATCATCATCTGCAAGGCGCGACGCCTGAGCACGCTGCAGTGGTTTTTCATGACGCACATGTTTACATTCGGGTTGCCCGAGAAGGAATTGCGCGTCAAAGCCAAGTTCCAACCCACGACACAAGGCACGACTGCGGCCGGGGACACCGGTCCGGGCAAAGAAATGTGCATGGTGGTCCAGGATGGCAACTGCCACATTCACCTTCTCGACGATCAGCTCGCAGACGTCAAGAGCCTCGTGTACAACATCAAGGTGCTGAAAGACACGACGGTCGTCATCAAGTAGACATGTACACTAGGACAAGATGTCCATTGCATACTTAACATAAGCTACGATATAGGCTATGCTGCATGTTTTAACCGTGTGAATCCAATTTGATGTCGCTTGATGTTTCGATGCAGCCACCCGCCATGATCTATCCAACGATCTGTGTCGAGGTCGACGGGTCCTTACAAATATATATGGTAGCCAGCGACAAGGATGAGATGCACAAGGAGTGCCGATGAAACTAGAGACAGCGACTTGCTTCTTCGTCTCACTTGATTTCCTAAATCGCTTCAACCCGTTCGATCCATGGCCATTTCTTTGGATCCAGCTATCCATTCACCAAGCAAGTTACTACTGCTATCCAATAATGATCAAAATGTGATCATCGAGGCCGGACACGGCGAGTTTGCGGGTTAAATAAAGAGACAACTTAGTTGCGATAGACCTTGACGACTTCGCGAATCTCGAGACGGCACACGGGGCACACGTGCGTCGTCTCGAGCAAGGACATGGCACACGTCATGCAGAGAACGTTGTGGCCGCAGGGCACGCACACGGCGGCTTGCGGGCCGTCAAAACACACCACGCACTCGAGCAGTCGCGGGCGCAGCGTCGCTTTCGTAAACACGACCGGTTGTGCAGTCTCGACCGTGGGCAGCGGCGGTGCCGACGGCTCGGGGTAGACCTTGGCCCGTCCGAGCTCCTACGCGCTTGTTCCGTTTACAAACAAAAAGAATGCAGGTGCGCACGTGGGAATTGAACTGGCGCGTCGGCGAGACCAGCGCATCGTGGAGGCACTCCCGCTACGTAATCTGAGAACACGCGACACATTCGTGGAGACTCGCACCGCGTCGTGGGCAAAGAAGCGAAGCCACTTGGCCGCACCGTCTTCGCTCAGCGCCGCAAATGAAAAGTGGCGCAGCGCTTGGGTGCGGCTCGATCCGACTTTTGGGGCACCGCGCAGTTCAAACCCAAACGGTTTCGGGTTCAAGTCGGACCAAAACGATGGGTTGGTCGGACGAATGCACGGCTCGTCCGCCGTCACATGCACGAGCAGCGACGTACTTGGCACAGGCGGACGGCGCGCGGCGTCGGGCACGGCAAACAGCGCGACTTCCAGAAACATGGACGAGCTGGTCCGGAGCACAATGCAGTAGCTACGCCAGTATTCTGGGACCTGGCGTCCATGACGTGGCAGCGTACCGTCGCGTCCATGTTTGAAGCGCCGTGATACCTGTGAGCTGCGAGAATAGCGTGTGAACGCGCTGAAAGACCCAACCACTGTACACTGAGCAGCGCTATAGCCAACAAAAGTAGTGTGTCAAGGCCGACTTTTCTTGTCGCATCAAAAACGTACCTGCTCAAGCAGCTCAATGCAACGCGCCAGCGCCACGAGGCGTAAGTCGTCGTTGTCGCCTTCCCGCTCCAGAAACGTACGCCGCGCGACCTCGAGCGGCGCGTCGCCTTTGGCGTTGAGGACATAGGGCGAAAACTCGGGCAGCGACAAGAGATACTGGACAATCCGCGCATGGCCTGCGTGGCAGGCGTGGTGCAGCGGCGTGTTGCCTTCATAGTCGCGCGCGTATTCGTCGGCGCCGGCGGCGTGGAGCCACTGCGCGGCGGCGACGTGGCCGTGCGCACACGCGATCGTAAATGGCGTCCGGCCA